GTCATGCTCCACCCCCAACCCCCACGGGGACCTCCCTCACTCTACACCAGGAAGGCAGCTTGAACTGGACATTGTTTTATTACAGTTTCTTTGAAAATACATTAGAAGTTTATTTTTCTAAGATTTTTTTTATTTTTAGAGAGAGGGGAAGGGAAGGAGAAAGAGAGGGAGAGAAACATCAATGTGTGGTTGCCTCTTGCATGCCCCCTACTGGGGACATGGTCTGCACCCCAGGCATGTGCTCTGACTGGGACTGGAACCGGCGACCCTTTAGTTTGCAGGCCCACACTCAATCCACTGAGCTACACCAGCCAGGGAGAAGTTTATTAATAATAACAACAACAATAGTAATATAATAGACTAAAAAGAAGTCTAAGAAGTTCAAGTCTCAAGGAAAGGATCTCCTGGAAGCAAAAGGAAGGAAAGGATAAGATGCAACTGTGGAACAAGCAGTGTTCCTCAAAGGAGTCAGAATCATCAGGCAGGAGGCCCAGGAATGTGCATTTTGACTGGCTCTGCTGGGGACTCTTATATATACAGAAAGACTGTACCCAAATGAAATGCACACAACCTGGATGGAATTAATCTTGAGCCTTCTACTTTGGGATTTCAATAGAGTTGGCTGATAAAATTTAGGGGACTCCCTAATTCTAAAACAAAATTCAAATGATAAAGAGTATCCAGTCAGATGTAACACGTGTTTCTCTACCACAAAATTCACAATGCATTTCAGTTAATACTGTGAACAGCCTTGTGAAGTCTAGAGTTTAAGTTACTCTGTGAAGATCCCGCAGCTAGTGAGCCACACAAATGAGAGCTGAACCACGGCTTCTGACCAGGCCAGTGCTCCTTGCCACAGTGCTGTTGAAAATGATGGAGTTATGGGTGAAATGGAATTTTTAGAAAAGAGAACCAAAAGCATAGACTCTAAAAACACTGAGATACTCTTTCTTATCCAACACTGGTAAAAAGGAGAAATTCTGACTCTCAGTTGTCACTAAAGGTGTGGATATATGAGAACTCTTATAAGCCTGCAGGAGGATATATATAAACCGGAGCCATCAACTTGGAGAGAAATGTGCCAGGACCTGGGAAAGCTAAAGATGCGTGTACCTTCGGTTTATGATCCAGACTCGCTGTCACATGTGTCCAGTATATTTATTGCAGCGTTCTTGTGATAAAAGGCAGATGCAGTTTTGTGTGTCTTGAAACTTTACATAATTGAGAAGGTTCTCTTCAAGGAAAATGATATAAAAGTACAAATATTACATGTTTATTTAGAATGAAGGGAAATAGTTACAAGAAACTTTTAGAGCCTGGGAAATCCAGGCCCCTCTATTCTGAGTTCCTTTAGAAATGCTTCCCATGCCCTTCTTCTCACTCTCCAGCTCCCAGGGAGAGCACGGTAAAGAATTGGGGGCGGGGTGAGGGAACACATACATGCAAATGAGGGACTCTGAGCTTAACTTTCAGTAGCTTCATGCTAAAGCCACCTCGAAACAGCCCAAACGAGTATCAGAATGAGAGTGAATACATCGTGGCACATTCGTATAATGGAATATTGAAAAGAGTGAATTAGAGCAACATGAACAGAACTCAAAAAATACATCTGAGTTGTAGAATAATGTATAGAAAGATGCCATTTATTTAAAGTTTTAAAATATACAAAACAAGACAGTTTATATATACATACATATATATATATATATACATATAAGTACACATGTGTGTATAAAATTATAATAATATGGAAGGAAATGATAAACTCTCAATTCCAGATGGTGGTTTCCTCTATCCAGGAGGAAAGGAGAAAAATGCAGAGGGGTACAGGGGAGATTTATTTTATCTGGATTTTATTTTTCCTTGAGATAAAAGAGAAAGACCTTTTATTCCTGAAGGAAATATGGCAAAATATCAAGACTTGATTAGACCAACCTAGGTGGTGGCTATGAAGTTTTATTGCACAATCCTCTAAGCTCATCTATATGCAGGAAATAGTTCATAGGTTTTACAAAGAAAGAGTGTCATTTGCACTACCAGGAAAAGAGGATACTTTAATTCTCACAACAGACCTGATTCCTCTATTTTTAATATTGAATTTATATTTTTATTGAAGTGTACGTAACATGCACAGCTCAAGCAATGTTTTCACATGTGATCCTGGTAAGCCTGCCTCTGTCACTCTACAGAGTGCTTGCCACTCCCTGCACCGCACACAGTTCCCCCTTTACACGCTAATACTCATCCTCTGGTCTCCGCTTGGATGTCACTTTCTCTAGCAAAACTGCCTTGCTCCCCCAAGACTTGGTTACTAGTACTCTTCTGTGCTTATGGCTTTAATTCACCATTTATTTGTCAGCTTCTCTTTCTAGATTGTGAGTTGCTTCTCTGAAAGATACAAATTACAAATGTGACTTCTTTTTCTGCTCTGAGCACTTGCCTTTCCATTTTCTGAGATAAATTGTATTCACCATTGTTAGCTCCTTCAGAGAAGCCCAAGATCCATTCCTTTTCTACACCTAATGTCTCCATAATTTCTGCATCGACTACTATGTTCCTCTATACTCTGGGGTCATAACCTTGAAATCAAGTTTTAGGTGTTGACCATTTCATGAGTTAATTCAAGCTTAAGGAAAATCCTTAACAGAGTTATATTCCATGACCACATGGGGTATCAGACTAATGCCTGCCTCTCAGAAGCCCTGAGCTTTGTAAGGGAAGCTGAAGCCCGTCTCGAGCCTGATTAAAACCTTCCCCAAAGCTGACGAGTAATGCCGAAACTGTTCATTCCACAGATCTACAGTATCAAAAGGTAACAATAAGGATGTTTCACTTCTGTTCCTCACGCCAAGGACACTTCAGAGAACCTCCTGGATCATAGACAGCCTCGGAGGCATTCTAAAGAAAGCAAGTCCTCTTTGTGTTGTAGGGGGAGCAACTGGAGGGTTGTTTAATCACTGGAGTAACAGGTGGATAAGAAAACAGACTCTGGTGCCAGACTTCCTGTATTAATAGTACAAACACGAAACCTTTCTGAGCTTCAGTTTTTCCTTTGGAAACTGGGGGTGGTGATGCTACCCTGCTTCAAAGGACTACTGTAAAGATTAAATAAGTTAATATGTAAAGAACTCCTGGCACATAGCAGTCTATAGCACTAGCAATCGTTACTGACATGGTAATATATGGACTTTGGAAAGATCACTCTGGGTATTGTCTGATAGATGATGATACTAAAAGGGGAAGTGCCATTCCAGCATTGAAAACAAAATAAGGTGACATGCGCTGGCTGGGTGGCTCAGTTGGTTGGAGTGTCATCTCATGCACCAAGAGATTGTGGTTTTGATCCTTAGTCAGGGCACAGACCTAGGTTGTGAGTTTGATTGCTGGTCAGGATACACACAGGAAGCAGCCGATTGATGTTCTCTCTCTCTCTCTCTCTCTCTCTCTCTCTCTCTCTCTCTCTGACTGATGAAAGTATCCTCGGGTGAGGATTTAAAATTTTTAAATTAAAAATAAGATGATGTGATTTAATACAGAAAATGCCTTAGGTAGGAAGTGAGTCAACTGGTCTCTACTTTTGGTCCCTTGGACGAGGTAGATCTATTCAAAGAGATTTGAACTGGGAACCGCATCATTGCTGTGAACCCCAGGTTGTCTCATTCCCTAGATTTTGTAACCAGTACATTGAAGGCATATTTTTTTTAAAGGTCCACAGCTACATAATTCTGAAGGCATTTGGCTGGAAATTTCCACATGTGTTTTCTCAAGGTTCAAAAAGTGCCCAAGAACTGTGATATTTTCATGGGATATATTTTTTAGTCTATCTTGAGAACAATTTTACAATTCTCCCAGGCTATTTATCCTCCTGGCAATATTTTCTGCTCACCTGCTGGCATGAAATCCTCTTTCTTACGTCCCAAACTGGCTAAGCTAGGATCCTCCTCAAAAACTCAGCTGAATTGTTTCCTCCTCTAAACTACCACTCCACTTGTGTGCACTTGTGTGTACTTGTTGGTTTATGTTGCAATGATCTGTTTTCTTGCCAGTCTTCATCTCTAGACCATGAGCTCTTCAATGGAAGGAACCATGATTTTATTTCCCATCTTGAAACACTACATGGCATAATAGTTTAGTGCATGGAGCCAGGATTTGAAGGTTTAAATCTCACACTTATAGGTTGTATATCTTTGAACAACTCGTTTAACTTTTCTGTGCCTAAGTTCCCTTATTTGTAAAATTGGCATAATAGTAGTGGCAAATTTACGTAAGTAGCACTTACTTCTTTCAATTAGAAGCTTTTTCATGATCGTCATTGAGTTACAGGGGAAGAAAACTTTTGGATACATTTTAAAGGTAGTCTAATATATAAAAGGGTCAGGGTTTCCAGGTAAAACAAATGCAAATAACTATGTTAAAAAAAATACAAGAGACTTGCAGATTCTGGCAGGCAATGCCTGACATCCTACCAGTTTCTCTCCATCGTCCTCACGCTGTGTGCCTTCTCTGACTCCCATGATATTCAAGGTCTCCAGTTACTCTTACTCGTGAGACGGCTACCTGCCCGGGCCGTGCCTGGCATTCCACGCTCAGGCTCTGCCAGGGAACTGATGCCCCTTTTATGTCACTGTCTGTTTAGATGTCCCATACCACACAACCGTCTCTGCGCTCAGAACTCTGGAACGACTGATAACCAGCCTCAAGCTAACTTTCTCAACAACTTAAGTCTCCTTTTGGACGCTTTCCCTCATCACCAATCACTCTTTGCCTCTCAGGGTTCCTTAGCATCACCTGTAACCTTTAGCAATTAAGACTCTCGTAGGCTCCGGAATTATTTCGGCCAACAACCCCCTAGGACTTGGAGGCCTTGGCTCCGCCCCACTTTAGCTATTGGTCCAGCCCCCTCCTCCGCTCCGCCTTCCTTTTAAACTGGAGTCTTGGGTGCGCCAGGCCCTCCACCTCCTCTAGCGTAATGACGTTAGTGGGCGTGGTGACGTGCAGTAGCCGTCAGCCGTCGGCGTTTTGGCCGCAGGGGAAGGGAGTGGGTTTAGGATCAACGCGAGGCCGTGCAGCGCGCGGGCCACTAGTGGCACGTGGTTTCCTTGCGGCTCACGCAGCTGATTGTGTTGTCCGCGGCCGCCCCCTCGGGGAGAGGAAACAGAGGAGAGGTTCTTTGGGGGGACAGAGCTGGAGCTCCGAAAGGGGAAGGGAGCAGCCGGGGTCTTTAAAGCGCCTGGCCGGTGGCCGGGATTCGAGGAGCGGCTGAGAGGGGAGGGTCCCGGCAGGCGGGGCGCGCACCCGCGTGGATCTGGGCTGGCGCCGCGCGATGTTCGGGGCCCGGGGCCTGCTCCGAGCCCTGCGCTCCTGTTCCTCTGCCCCCTGCCCGACACCCAAGCCTGCAGCCAAACTGAGCGTGCGGGAAGCTCTCAGGGCCCAGAACACGAACGGGGAGCGCGTTAAGGTTCAGGTTGGTGTATGGGAAGGGTTTTTGTTTTTTTTGTTTTTTTTTGGTCTACTTTTCTTTTTAGTGACTTACATGGCACATCCACTTCTAGGCTTGGCTTGTACTGTCAGGTCAGAACGGCCGCCAGGGAAAAGTTAGAAAATAACAGGCAATCGCGTGCATTCACACTTGTCTCCTTTCATTGGCTACTCTTTTTGCAAGACTGTTGTGACACCCATAAAATCCTGGAAATTTGCTTTCACGGTACTATGGCATCACCTGTAAACTTGTTAATTGTACAGCAACGTAAACGAAGGAGTCCCATTTCCTTTAGTCCTTGTAACTAATAATCCATAGGTATATGCTGGTCATCTTGAGCTAGCTCCTTGAGAGCAGAAAACATGTCCCACCTGTTTGGGTATTCACACATGGCTGACTGTAAATATTTGTTCAACTAAACCATACCTTTCACTCGACCACAGTGTCGAACGTGAGGCTTCTCATGTAAGGTGTTTAATCAACTACGAAAAAGAGTGGAGTGTAGCAGCTTGAAATCTCCAGAGTCAAGCTGCCTATGTGCGACTCTCATTATGGGGCATGTCACTTACATGCCCTAACCCTCAGTTTCCTCTTACAAAAATGAAGGTGATAGCAGGTATAAGACATAGAACAGTGGTCCAGAGTCAATTAACGTTAACTATTACTTCCCTTGCTGATAATATTTGCAGCAGTTCCTCTTAAAGGAGCAGGCCAAGCAAGGTCGTTTGCTGAGACAATTATTTCTGTTGTCCTCGAATATCCTGGATTTTTAGCAGTGTGCCTAATCTACCCTTCTGCACTTCTTTGGGTTTCATATTCTTTCCATGGTCCAAATCAGAATCTTTTCTTGAATTCAGCTATTAATTTGCCATACATCAATGATGCCTTTTGTATGCTAGTCTAAAGGCAACTCCAAGACAAAAACAACCTAATGCCTCCATTAGAGGCTTTCACTTAAGTGCTGTGCAGTCTAATATTATCTGGTGCTAGTACAGTATAGACACTTGTACTAGTTGCTCCTGAGCACTTAAGATGTGGGCAGTCTGAACTAAGAGGTGCTGCAAATAAAATGCCAATTTTGAATAACAAAAAATAATGCAAAATATTGTTATATTGATTCTATGTTGTTAATTTGGGGGGCATATGGGTTAAATAAAATATTAAAATTAATTCACCTGCTTTTTACTTTTACTGTGACCACTAAGCAAATGTAAAATTACTTACATAGCTCACATACTTTTGTTGGACAGCCCTGGTCTAATGGCTAAAACAAATAATTTCAGCAATATAATAGGAGTTAGTGATATAAATAAAAACCAGAAAGGAAGTCCTTAAATGTGTGAGGAGGTCAAGGAAGACAGCTTGGCTGCAGGGTATGTTAGGGACACAAAGAAAATAAGGGTCAGTACAGTCATGCACCATATGAAATTTTGGTCAATGACAGATTGCATAAAAGGGATGTGGTCCCATAAGATTATAATGGAGTTGAAAAATTCCTACTCACAGTGACTTGGTAATCTTGATAACCTGACATCATAGTGCAACACATTACTCACGTGTGTGGTGATGCTGGGGTAAACAAACCTATGGCGCTGCCAGTGGTATAAAAGTGGAGTGCGTATGATGATGTACATAATACTTCTAAGGATGATAAATGACTGTTAACTGGCTTGTGTATTTACTATACTTCTATTGTTATTTTAGAGTCTACTCTTTGTACTTGTACAAAGTTTGCTGTGGAAGAGTATGCCATGTTACACCTGCAGCAGCCTCACACATCTTGCGTTTACTGCATCTCTTGATTGCATCATTTTCTCTCGTGCTTGCTGTAATCTCGTGTTGATATGTTCAGTAACATGTACAGGTGTATAGTAGCTACACCATCTAGATCTGTGTGAGAGTCCTCTGATGCCAGCACAAGGTTGAAGTTGCCTTACAATGCAGTTCTCAGACTATATCTGTCATTAGGTGGTGTGTGACTGTATCGGTTTTCTTTTCCCAGGTGTGTTTGATGGTTAATCAGATACCATCAATTGTTTCACAGTTAGTGACTGCTAGAAGAATATTCTCTCTTCTCTGCTAATTTAAGTTTAAGCTAGATGTGATTGGTGAGATTTTTAATGCTAATTGGTCTACCTGAAGACATCTCATTTATACTCAAACTGCTTGTCATTTAAATTCAGAGTGTTTTTGAAAGTTTATAACTTATGTTCATAATGAGAAGGTTCTTGAGAACTCTTTATGTATGGTATTTTGTAAAAGGAAATATAATCCTATAAAGATGTTTCTTATCTATAACTACATAATCTCTCTTCTTGGAATTTGATATAAAAGAAGAAAGAAACCAAAACATGTGCTGTTATTTGTAACCCAGTTAAGAGGATGCAGGGACAGGAGAAAATAAGTGAAATAGTCAACATTGGGGGGATTGGCTAATGTGAATTAGACTCATCAACCTGGAGGGTCAGGTATCTATTCAGAAAGATGAACTTTATTAACAAAACAAAAGGTAGAATGCCAAAGCTATATCATATCTCACTGTGATAAGAACCATATAAAATTATATATGCATATGAGTGAACTAAAAGTAATTGATTTTTAAGGCAGGATTATGAGGACATTTTTTCCTCTGGTTTCATGTAGTCTGCTATGTGTATGTGTAATGAAAACGTAAAATGTTTACATGTTTTAAACTCACATTTAGAAATAATTCTGTTCTTTAGGGATGGATTCGTTCAGTCCGATCCCAGAAAGAAGTCTTGTTCCTGCATGTAAATGATGGGTCCTCTTTGGAAAACCTTCAGGTTGTAGCAGATTCAAACTTTGACAATAGGTGAGTTAAAAAAAAAAAAAAGAAGTGACTCTTTTGATTTCTTTTTTCATCTCTTCTGCCTCCCATTTCCCGAATCCAGCATTCACATTGTACCCTGCATGGTCTTTCTAAACAAATCTGCTTTGTATAGTTTCAAGGTTCAAGTCCAAATACTTAAAAGCAAGGTCCTTCACACTCAGGCCTTGCCTCCTCTGTCTGACGTACTCATGTGACAATATTCCCACCTGTCCTTTGCTTCAGTCTCTCTTAACTGTCTGCAGCATTTTACCTAATTAAGCCTAAAAACGTCTATCATTAAATATTTTAATGTCCTTAGAGCAAGGTTTGTATTAAAATGAGGGTTGTGTATAATGATATTTTGTTATTCTGTGTTGTTACTGTAGAGAACTGGCTTTTGGGAGTGCCGTGGAAGTTCACGGAAAGTTGGTAAAAAGTCCAGCCAAAAGACAAAATGTGGAGCTGAAAGCAGAAAAACTTGAAGTTGTTGGCAGTTGTGATCCCAAGGTATGTTTTCTGACACTTTAATGGAGGCTGTTTATGGCTTAATTTAAAACATTAGCAATTTGTTTTAGGTGTGATTGTTGGGAAGAATGTGTTTAGAATGTGTTTTGATTGTGGCTTCCCAGGTCATTGAAAGAAGCAGTAGAGCCTAAGGAATGTAGAGAGAGTAGCAAAAAGTAGCTGTGTAGACCGATGAGTGTCCTGAGTGAGAGCTAAGTTTTACTCTATGCATCTCTGTCGCAGTTGAAAGTTGCCACTTTTACTGGCATGCCCAATGACAGAGGCATACCAGGGCAGTCCACATTCTAAGAAAAGTTCTGTCTAGAAGTGACTTGCATGACCTGGAACTGTTATGTCCAATACAGTAGCCATTAGCCACCTGTGGCTGTTTAATAGTAAATCAATTAAAATTAAATAAAGAATTCCATTTCTCCAAGTCATTAGCCATATTTCAAGTCTCCAGTGGTCATATGCAACTGGCGGCTACCCTACTAGACAGCACGGATACAGAACATTTCCATTTCTCATAGAAAATTCAATCGGACAGTGCTAGAGTGTTGTGATTCTTGGCTGAACAAAAAATTCTACATTAAGACATGTTTATACCTGTTTTTGCAAGACTTTTCTGTCACTAGCTTTCTATTTGTAGCCTGATAAAGAGGTTAGCAGGAATAAAAGAATAGATTATCAATCTAATTTGTTTTTTTCTTTTAACTTTTAAAAAAATTTCTTCAGTTGGAAAAAATGAGGCGCAGCCAGGTGAAATGGTTTGCTCAAGGGGATACAGCTGATTAGTGGCACAGCTGAACTTGACATATGTAGTAGCCATTTGACTCCCTGTGGTTTAGAGATTCTCTTCTTTAAATGTGTAGTGAACAAAAAATACAGAACTATAGAGAAATTGCATTATTTTCATTCATTTTTGGTTTTTGGGGATAACTGGAAGAAATTAAATACAGGCAATAAGAAGAAAATGGGAACTTTCTTAAACATGTGATTTTGAATAATTTTTTGAGGAATTCTAATTGACAAGTAAAATCAAGAATCAGGTTCTGAGATTTCTGAAAAATAAACCGAAAATAAGTTGGAACTCAGAAAGGAATGGAGACAGTAACCATTGTTGTTTTTCGTTTTTTAGAGGGATATATGATTATTAAAAATTTACTATGTGTTTTACTCTTCTTGAATTGTTCTCCCTTGGCTTCTGTGGATGTTGATAACCTTCTCCTTCCCTTCATTTCAGTGTTATTTGTAAGTACTCAGACATTAGGGAATTCTGAACCACTTAACAGTCACCAAATTGCTGTTAATGTGGTCGTATTTTTCACTTTGGTAAGTGTGGTGCTTATTTCTATATAGCGTAAATTAATATATGCACAAGGCCTAAAAGGAATAGATTAGTCTAAAAAGGCTACCAGGGTAGCTTTTTCACTTAGCTTCTTTGTTATCTTTTTATTGAAACTTTGATTTTGGTCTGAAAGTTTGTTTCTCTCTTCTTAATCTTGTAACACCAGTGTGGGTCAGGTGGAAATACTTCTAAGTAGATTCATAATTTCTTTAAATTTTTGGTAACTATACACTACTCTGCCAGTGACAGAAAGTTGTCCACCCTTCATATTCTTAGGTAGTAGTGCATGTTGGTAGACAGTGACTAAACTGTCAGTTGATTGTGAATGATCGTGGACTTTAAAGACATTTGGGTAATGTAAAAATTAAGCACCAGTTGTATGTAAACAACTATAGAAAACAATCTTTAATATGTGCAAAATTCTAAACTCCTCTGTGCCAAACAGTGGACTGTTTTGCATGATTTTATCCTAATCTCTCTACTCATAATAGTGGTAGATAGCCGACAGACAGAAATTTGGTAAATAGCAGACTAGCCTCAGTGACCTTCAGTGCACTTGCCCATGGTTTCACAGCTAGTGAGTAGTAGAGCAGAATTAAAAACTGCATCTCTGATTCTACCCCGCCACCATTCTGCTAACTCATGGGCATTAATATGGACTATATTCAGTTATATTACGAAATAAAGAAGGAAAACATCTAAGTTTTTGTTCTAAAGTACTACTATTTTAAAAACGCCCTGGACATTATCTTGTTAGCTTCTAATTTGGTTTTGTTTGTTTTTTTATTGGCAGGATTTCCCTTTTAAATATAAAGAGAGGCCTCCTCTGGAGTATCTAAGGCAATTTCCTCACCTTAGGTGTAGGACTAATGCCCTGGGTTCTATACTGAGGGTTCGCAGTGAAGCCACAGCTGCTATTCATTCTTTCTTTAAGGTAAGGTGTTTTGCTTCTTAGTGTTCTGTCTTGTAATGAAATTGAGTAATCATAACACTGGAATATTATCCTGCAGGTTCTATTAGTTAGTTATTCCAAGTACCCTTTACCTTTACTATCATGGTATTTTTCTTTATTTCTTTTTTTTAATTGATTTTAAATTTTCTTTCCCATTTTAAAAAAGATTCTATTTATTTATTTTTTAGAAATAGGAGAGGGGAGAAAGAAAGAAAGGAAGAGAAACATCAGTGTGTGGTTGCCTCCTCTGTTCCCCCTACTGGGGACCTGGCCTGCAACCCAGTCATGTGCCCTGATTGGGAATCGAACGGGCAACCCTTTGATTCGCAAGCTGGCACTCAATCCACTGAGCCACACCAGACAGGCTAAATTTTCTCTTTGATTCTGAGCAATTTTATTATGATGTGCCTTGGCACAGTTTCTTTGTGGTTGGAGTTTGTTGAGTGTCTTGGATCTATTTTTTTTTTCATCAACTTTTTTTAGCTATTATGTTTTCAAATATTTTTTGTTTCTTCCATCCTTTGGGGACTTCAGCTACCCAAATATTAGGCCATTTGATGGTATTCCCAGAGCTCACTGATGCTCTTATATTTTTTGAAGTTCTTTTTTTCTTTGTGTTTTTCTTTTGGATAATTTCTGTTGCTGTTTCATTAAATTTATTTGTTCTTTCTACAACATTTAATTTATTTCTATCCAGCGTATTTTTTATCTTACACAGTTTAGGTTTGATATCTAGATGTTTGATTTGGACCCTCTTAAAAATGTCTTCCATTTCTCCACTTAATTTTGAACATATTCAATATGGTTTGAACATATACAATGCAGTGAAAATACTGTTTTATGTCCTTTTTTCTAATTTTAACATATCTGTCATTTAGGAGTCAGTTTTGATTTATTAATCTCCTCATTATGGATTATGTTTCCCTTCCTCTTTGTGTACCTGCAAATCTTTGATTAGGTGCCAGACATTGTGAATTTTAAGCTGCTTAAGCTTTGTTCTGGTATGCAGTTATTTGAAAACTGTTTGATCCTTTGTGTCCTGGCTTTAAGTATATCTGGAGAAGTTCTCAGTCTAGGAGTGATTATTCCCCACTACTGAGCCCAAGCCTTCTTGAGCACCTAGTGCCTTGTGAATCGGTAGGTTTTTCAGTCTGGCTGTGGGTTCAGATAAGGTTTCCAGCCACGTGTGAGCATAAGGCACTGTTCTCTAGTCTTTTTGGGTGGTTCTTTTTGCGGCCTTGGATGGTGTCCTCACAAGCATTGGCTTGATCATTCTTCTACTCGGGTGTCAAACTCATTTTCACCAGGGGGGCCACGTCAGCCTTGCGGTTGCCTTCAAGAGGGCAAATGTAACTTTAGGACTGTATAAATGTAACTGCTCCTTAACAGTTAAGTGAGAGCTCAGTGCTGCAGCCAGGTAGAAACAAGGTACCGGGCAGGATGAAACAAGGTGGAGGGCCGGATTCGGCCCGTGGGCCTTGTGTTTGCCACCTGTGCTCTACCTGATGCTCCATGTGACCCTCTACCCACCTCTGGAGTTCTCTGCACAGCTCTTTCCTCTCTGGTACTCTGTCTTGAATTTTAGTCACTTCAGTCTCTGAGGCTCTCAGCTGTGTCTCCTCAATGCAGGGATTCTGCTGGGCTCTACTTTCTCACCCCACTCTCCTTGCTATGGCCTAGAAAATCTCAAGGCAGTAAGTAGGGCTCCTGGAGGGGTTCACTATGTTTGTTTCCCGTCTTCCAAGACCACTGTCCTTTGTTGTCTGGTGTTCAGTATCTTGAAAACCATTCTTTCATGTGTTTTGCTTGTAGGGTTTTTTGTTCTGTTTTTGTCTTGTTTGTTTCAGGTAGGAGGGTAAACCGGTCCCTATTTTTCCAGTTGGTCATAGACATACTACAGACAATGTATATACACACACACTCTATATATACCATGTATACATACACACCATATATATTATATATGGTGTATTTATTTATATAGTATATATAGTATTTATGTATAGTATATGTATATAAATAGTAATTAAAATTTCAAAGAGGTATTGATCAAGTAGATTGATCTAATGATTAAAGGTATTTTGTCTTACTTAGTTTTGCTTTTCCACCATTTCCCCCAACCTGGGGAAGCCACAATGGAATGTACAATAGTTGGTAAGTTGATGAGGTAAAGGGACCCTCCCTGTCACGTGGATGGGGACTGGGGGGCAACGGCAAGGAGTGAGCCAGAACATAAAGTTCAGTGTTATTCCGTGTGGTTTTGGAACGCTTCCTACGGCACTTTTCCAGACCCAGCTAGTGTGCAGAGATTGTTTAATGTGTACCCTTCCCTGTATCCGAAGTCATGTGGACCACCTTTTGCAGCATACAAGCGAGTTCTTGCTTTTCGAAAAGCTCCTTCAGAGTTGATTTCTGGAAAAACAGCTAAAGAACGGCTTTAAAGCACACACTGTACTCTGGAATAAACAAAGGAAAATAAATCACATTATACAGTATCACCCCATTCTAGTTCAAAAGGGGGCGTTTACATATGGCCTCATAAACTTTCTTATGCAGCTTCCATATGGCTTTTCAGTAGTGCTTGAACCACACAAACAAAATTTGTTCAGATCTGAAAATGCTTTCCCCCATATGGCCTTCACAGCTAAGAGGACTAACTCTGAAATAGTTTTACATGTTTCTGGCCACCAGGTGGTGGTGTTCGCAGTCCCTTGACTCGTGGGCTTTACCTTTTTTCTGCATTTCTTTGTTACATGAAGCTTTTGCAGATATGTGAACAATTAAAAAATAAGGGAAGTAACGAGAAATTCTGAAGTCAAAAAATAAGGAAAATAAAATTAAAAAGAAACGCTTTAAGTGGTTAAAAATAAATTTTAACACTCAGTGATCATTACCAAACAGGTACTTTTTTTGAGTGCTATAAATTCACACTTTAATTGTAAATACCTGGAAAATATCAACCAACTTCTATAATGTTACCCAGTTGTGTGTGTGACAGTCAGGACTGAATCGTTTACAGAGATCAGAGGAGAGCTACGTGACATATTAAGTAATTGTTATATATTATCTAGTATTTGGTACTACAGGGTCTGGCAGAAGTAACACCTGCTTGAGTGTGGTTGGTAAGGTAATAATATGGGTGAGATAATTTATAGTTTTAATTTGAACATTTTACCTAAAATGTCATACGGTGAGCTTGAGTGTAATATTACATGCTTATGATTTTATAATAAAAGATTTTGTAATAAAGGGTGTTATTTGTGCCAGACCCTATATTTCTATGAGTTGTGACTATAGGTGCCCTAAAAGATGTTAGGACTTAAAATGTAAACTCGTCATAAATTTCAAGTCTAGAAGTACAGAAAAAAGTAAACTTGAGCAGTACCGCAAGTTTAAGCATCTAGAGTTACTGTTTTAGTTTATCAAAAATGTTTTGTATATAACTTGGTTTGCTCATAAAATTGACACATTTGCTATGAACTAAAAACTGACTATCTAGAATCCTCAAGGAATGAGTCATTTAGAAGAGCTGAGTTTCTCAAATAACAGGTTTATCTGTTGAGGCACCAAATTTTCTAAATTCCAGCGGAAATTATCCAGCAGTGTATCGCATACTTCCCTGGCTTTCTAACTGCCAGGGGGAAAAGTTTACCCTTTCTTGATGAGTCAAAATTCTTCCTTCGAGTATCAGATTTTTTCCTCTTCTGCATGGCAGTGCTTTCAAAGCCTGTCACGGTGTGGAGTGTTCTTTGTCCCTGTGTTGTGACCCCATACCGCTGTGTCTTCGAATTCCTGTGACTGTTTTCCGTGGATTACTTTTTTTGGGGGGGTGTCTCCTTTTGCTTTCATTTTCTGTTGCCAGTAGTGTGCCTGTGGCTGGCAATTGCTGCTATGTTGTTGTTGTTGCTGATTCTAATAAATAGAGATCCTTATTTTGGGTGTGTATGTGTGTGTGTGAACGAAAATATAGTCCATGAGTCATTGAGTGATGTGTATGGGCCTCAGTACATGGATTTTTGTAATTTTCAGATATTCAATGCCTTACAAAATATCTGGTTCTAGAATGTCTGTCTAGCAAACTATTTAGCTATTTAGAAGCAGTGGCTGCAATCTGAAAAACTGGATGAAAATGTGTGCTTTTGTTTTTGGTTCCCTCTCTGGCCTTCATACTTCTAATTAGGAACCTCCTTGCTGGGGTAAAGGGTCAGGAACTCACACTGGTACCACGTTGGAGCAGCTGCTGGCAGGGCTTCTCCAGTCCTGGCTATTTATTTTCCTTTTTATCTTTCTCCTTCTCTGTCCGCTCCTCTTTTTTGGAGTGTTTTCTCCATGTTTTATTTTTCTCCCTTTGTACACTGTATAGCTTTCTGCGGTAATGTCATGGACTCTGACCTGATAAGCCTTGCTTGCAGCATTAAGCCTTAAAAAGTTGGTGACCCCTTTTGAAAGGTTTAGCATTAGTTGAGTGTTAAAAATAATTCCCACTACTTGAGCAATTTAAAAAAATATATCACATAGTTATTTTCATAAGATTTACAGTGATGTTTCTTGTGGCAGTTGACCAGTTCTAACTTTGGCAATCATATTTAGCCGTTAAATTTTCTCCTCCCTCTCCCCCACCCTCTCGCCGCCCTCATTTCCTTTGGATTTTTCATTTCCTTTCTTTGTTTACTGCACTCAAGCTCATAGTTGCCTGCATTCGTGTGGAATAAATGATTCATAATTGTCCATAATTCTCGGCTCCTGAGAGAGAAAAATTTTATGCAGTAGTGTTATTATTGATTATGTTTCATTTGTTCCCTATAACGTGCTCTGTGCAGCACCCCCAGGCGTCTGCTCCCAGACCGAGTGCATGTCTGAATGCTTTCTGAGATTCCCGATTTAGAGTTCGAATGTTTAATCTATCTACATGATAAGGCAAGTTGTTAACTAGATGCGCTGCATCTTAACCAGAATACTTTAACCTGTTTACGAAGGAGGGAGCAAACTTGGGAGGTTCCTGGTAACACATTGAGACATTTTGTATTCTACCAGTGATGGGCAAATTCAGCAGATTAGAAGTATGTATATGAATACATTGTGCTGATTTCAAGGCCACAATTTAAATATATATTTTTATTTAAGGTTTTATTTATTCATTTTTAGAGAGGGGAAGAGAAGGAGGAAGAGAAGGAGAAAAATATCAATGTGTGGTTGCCTCTTGCGCACCCAGACTGGGGAGCTGGCCTGCAACCCAGGTGTGTGCCCTCACTGGGAATTGAACTGGTGACCTTTTGGTTCACAGCCCACTCTCAATCCATTGAGCTATACCAGCCAGGGCAAGACCACAATATTTGCATTAAACATATACTATTCTGCCTTTTGCAGCCCAATTCCCCTTTGGTTACCTGCACGCCCACCCTGCAACATTTATGCCTCGTGTAACCTTTTGCCTGTGTCCATAGTCAAAATGAATGAAGCTTAACCTTGAAGTTGTTGAGTTATTTCAATTCTACTAGCACCAGCTTTTGTGGTTCACTAATGGAAATAGTCTGAGACTCTGGAGCAGAAAAATTGTAATTGGGCGCCTCAGTAATGGATGCATTTGCTGCTCACAGTCCTCTTTGAGGCTAACGAAGTGCTCTGCCTGCGTTGTGTGCAGTGCTCTTGCCATCAGTTTAGTGACAGACATCCTAAAATATCGTTTCTGCCTTGTTTGCAGTTTATTTCTGTAGATTGTATTTGTCAACTTTGATTTTTCTTCTTTTCAGTGGTTTGTTACAATTGAGGGTCTCATTGCAAAATAACTGAACTTTTCATTGATCACTTTGTATTCTCTTAGCATTGTGGGCAACATTATTTATTATACGTTAACTTTGAGGGGTTGGGTGTGTATGTGCGTTAAATCGTTACCAGTATGTTAGAAAAGGGGAAGAAGAACTAATACCAGAGACAGACCCTGAACACCTAGGTTCCAGTCCTGGGCTGCCACTGACTACTTGTGTGACTTGGCAATTCATTAACCTCTCTGGGCCTCAGGTTCCTTATCTCTGAAACGAGGAAATTGGACTAGGTGAAGTCTAACTCATTTCCTGATTTAAAATTAGTTGTGCTTCTATACATAGTAAAACACTCAGCTTGGTATTTCAGTAGTTTTGTTTGGGGGGTTGGGGAGGGGTTTGATATTGCATTCTCTTAATGCTCTTATAATTGTACAATATATGTTTTCTTGGAATTATTTCATGTGCAGGTATACTGAAAAAATGGCTTTTCTTTGTCTTCTAGGACAATGGCTTTGTACATATTCATACTCCAATAATCACATCCAATGACTGTGAGGGCGCTGGAGAACTTTTCCAAGTTGAAGTAAGTTGTGCTTGCTGCCTTGGGGGATGGATACGCTGCTGTCTGACATTTTCATCTGAGGGTTTGTTTTAAATTTAATAAGAATCATATGGATTAACCATGACCAGAACCTGAGTTTTTTTCAGTAGTAATCCTTAAAAAAAGTGTAGAAAATTCAAACTTCTCTGATTCCTGTCCTATCAGCCGTATATTTACATTGTGACTAAAAGGAGTAGGTTTTCAGTTTAGTACTCCATTTGTTTTCTTTTATGACTGTGAATTGGTGAGCCGGAATAATTTGAAGAAATTAATAAAGATTCTAAGATATCTTTTGTGCAAATTCAACTTCCAGTTAATATTTTTGGATGTAAGTCATATTTTAAAAATTAAGTCAGCTCTGGCTGGTGCGGTTCAGTGGATTGAGTGCTGGCCTGCAAACCAAGGGGTTGCCGGTTCGATTTCTGGTCAGGGTCTGGTCCCCAGTGTGGGGTGTACAAGAGGCAGCCACACATCGATATTTCGCTCCGTCTCTTTCTCCCTCCCTTCCCCTCTCTCTAAAAATAGTAAGTAAATAAAATCTTTTTCTAAAAAAAAGATAAGTTAAAATAGAAAAGTATATATGTGACTATTTTCTTTTTCAAAGTCTTTAAAAAACATTTTTCATAAGAAAGATTTATGCCCTAGCTGAGTGGCTCAGTTGGTTGGAACATTGTCCTGTACCGAAAGGTTGCTGGTTGGAATTCCTGGTCAGGGCACATACCTAGGTTGTGGGTTCAGTCCCCACTTGGTGTGCATACAGGAGGCACCCAATCAGTGTTTCTCTCTTACATCAATGTTTCTCTCCCTCTCTCTCCCTGCCTTCCTCCTCCCTCCCTCACTCCCTCTCTCACTCCCTCCCTCAGATCAATAAAACACATCCTCAGATGAGGATTAAAAAACAAAGAAAAAGAAATGATTTATGTTCTGTATACCTCATGAAGGCTCTTATTTTAATTCTTTATTCAGCAGCCATTTTTTGAGCCCTTAATAAATCCAGGCATTGTCAGCTTGCCCTTGTAGGTAATTTAAAATTTACTGGTTTTTCTTATTTGTAGGCAGTCGAAGCCTTTTCATTTACCAGTTTGCCAGCCTGCTTAAACTCACTGGATAGTAGTGCAGTAGTTTACAGAGAAATGTATTTTGATAAGCAGTGCTTTTTGTTTTCTGTCATTTATTCACTGATTTCTTCCTCCCCCCACCCTTTGGTTCTGTCTCTTCCTCTTCACCTGGGGACATTTTTCCCCCCATTGGTTGTAGAGACAGAGGAAGGGAGAGAGGGAAGCATTGATTGGTCGCCTCCCAAAAGTTCCAGGACCGAGGACCAGATTGTACGTGTATATGCCATAAGAGGGATTGGGAATCCAGGACTGAACCCCAAATTTAGGATGTGCCCTGATGGAGAATTGAACTGCAACCTTTCGGTCATGGGCTGGCGCTCCAACCAACTGAGCAACACAGGCCAGGGCCACTGACTTCTTTAAGAACTCAAGATTCTTTATATTGGGTTGATTCCACTAAATGACAAGACATATATAAACTGCTCTCTTTGTATGTTTTCACTTTTATAAAATTGTAACTACAGTTGACATACAGTATTATATTAGTTTCAGATGTACAGCTTACTGTTTAGACATTTATATAATTTTTGTGGTGCTCACCCTGGTAAGTTCAGGACCCACCTGACACCATATACAGTATTACAACATTGTTGACTATATTCCCTGTGCTGTACTTTACATCCCCATTACTGTCTTTGTAACTGGCAATTTGTACTTCTTAGTCCCTTCACTGTTTTCACCCAGCCTTCCAGCTGCGCCCCCCACACCTGCCCCCAGTCTGGCAACCATCTATTTGTTCCTGTGTCCATGAGTTTGTTTCTATTTTGTTTGTTTATTTTTGATTCAACATATAAGTGAAATCATACAGTATTTGTCTCTCTTCTGCCTTCTTTCATTTAGCATAATATCCTTTAAATTCATCCATACTGTTGTAAAGAGCAAGATTTCCTTTTTTTTTGACAAGTACTCGTTTTAATTTTTAAAAATTTTTTATAGTGAAATAATTTTTAAATATATTTTATTGATTATGCTATTACAGTTGTCCCATTTTCCCCTCTTCATTCCCCTCCACCCTGCATACCCCCTCCCACCCACCTTCCCCCATTAGTTCATGTCCTTCTGTCATAAGTTCTTTAGCTTCTACATTTCCCATACTATTCTTGCCCTTCCCCCTGTCTATTTTCTACCTACCATCTATGCTGCTTATTCTCTGTACCGTCTCCCCCTCTCTCCTCCACCTACTCCCCTGTCACTAACCCTCCATGTGATCTCCATTTCTGTGCTTCTATTCCTGTTCTAGTTGTTTGCTTAGTTTGTTTCTGTTTTCATTTTAGATGTGGTTGTTAATAACTGTGAGTTTGCTGTCATTTTGCTGTACATATTTTTTATCTTCTTTTTCTTAGATAAGTCCCTTTAACATTTCATATAATAAGGGCTTGGTAATGATGAACTCCTTGAACTTGACCTTCTCTGAAAAGCACTTTATCTGCCCTTCCATTCTAAATGAAAGCTTTGCTGGATAGAGCAATCTTGGATGTAGGTCCTGGCCTTTCATGACTTGGAATAGTTCTTTCCATTTCTTCTTGCCTGTAAGGTCTCTTTTGAGAAATCAGCTGATAGTCTGATGGTAACTCCTTTGTAGATGACTGTCTCCTTATCCCTTGCTGCTTCTAGAATTCTCTCCTTCATTTTAATCTTGGGTAATGTAATTATGATATGCCTTGGTGTGTGCCTCCTTGGGTCCAATTTCTTTGGGATTCTCTGAGCTTCCTGGACTTCCTGGAAGTCTATTTCCTTTGCCAGATTGGGGAAGTTCTCCTTTATTATTTGTTCAAATAAGTTTTCCACTTGTTGCTGTTCCTCTTCCCCATCTGGTACCCCTATAATTTGGATGTTGAAATGTTTAAAGATGTCCTGGAGTTTCCTAAGCCTCTCCTCATTTTTTTTGAATTCTTGTTTCTTCCTTCTTTTTTGTTTGGTTGTTTTTCTTTCTTTCTTGTGGTCCACTCCATTGATTTGGGTACCAGTTTTTTCCCATTAATATTGGTTCCCTGTGCATTTCCCTTCATTTCACTTAGTATAGTCTTCATTTTTTCATCTAATTTGCCACCAAAATCAACCAATTCTGTGAGTATCCTGATCACCAGTGCTTTGAACTGTGCATCTGATAGGTTGGCCATCTCTTGGTCACATGTATTGGCTCAGGGGCTTTGATCTGTTCTTCCGTTTGAGCCATTTTGGGGCGGGGGTTCTGGTTGGACCTGTTATGTAGTGAGGAGCCTTAGGTGTTCACCAGGGCAGGGCAATCCACGTGGCTGAGTTGTGACACTGGATGTGGGGGCGGGGTCAGAGAGGGAACAATGGCACTTGCTCCACTTTCTGTAGGATCTCAGTCCTTTCTACCACTTCTACAAGCAAACTGGACCTTTCTGCTGCTGATTCCTGGGTGTGTGGGCTCTACATTCTAGGACTCTGTGGGTCTCTCCAGTGAACTCTTCTGTCAGGATGTAAGTCTGTCCCAGCACTTTAACCCCCAGAAATGTTTTCACTTGGTGTTTTGAGGCTTTATTTCCCTGTCCTGGGACCTTGGGTTGAGTGGTCTGTCTCACTCCCCAACTTCACCTGGTTTATCTGTGTGTGAATGTGGGACCCACAGTGCCTTTCGTGCCGATGCACCACTTTTTGTGCCACGACCCCTCTCTGTCCGGCTGCCTGACTCTGCCCTGCCTACCAGTCTGGATGAATGTGTCTATTTTATGTCCTTGGTTGTCCAACTTCCATACAGTTCAATTTTCTCTCAGTTTTGGTTGTTATTTTGTTTCTAAATTGTTGTTGTCCTTATTTTGGTTGTTCGAGGAGGTACAGTGTGTCTACCTATGCCTCCATCTTGGCCGGAAGTCAAGATTTCCTTCTTTTTTATGGCTCATATTCCATTGTATGTATGCACCACATCCTCTTTATGTAATTATCTGTCCATGGACACTTAGGCTGCTTCCATGTCTGGGATGCCATAAATAATGCTGCAGTGAGCGTAGGGGAGCATATATCTTTTCAAATTAGTGTTTGAAGTTCTTCAGATAGATACCCAGAAGTGGAATGCCTGGGTCATATGTTAGTTCTGTTTTAATTTTTGAGGAACCTCCATACTGTCTTCCACAGTGGCTGCACAAATTCTCAGTCTCACCAACAGCACTAGCCAACACTTGTTTGTTGATTTATTGATGAGAGACATTCTGACAGGTGTGAGGTGATAATCTAATTTGTATTTTTCTGGTGATTTAGTGACATTAAGCATCTTTTCATATGTTTATTGGCCATCTGTATATTCTCTTTGGGGAAATATCTACTTAGGTCCTTTACCCATTTTTTAATCAGATTGGTTTTTGTTTTGTTTTGTTTTGTTTTTGGTGTTAAGCTGATGAGTTCCATATATATTTTGCATATTAACCCCTTATTGGGTATGTCATTGATGAATATCTCCTTCCATTCAGTAGGATGTCTTTTTGTTTTGTTTTGATTTCCTTTACTGTGCAAAAACTTTTTAAATTTGATATAGTCCCATTTGTTTATTTTTTCCTTTTGTTTCCCTTGTTGAGAAGATGTCCAAAAAAATACATATTGCTACCAGTGAGGTCAAAGACTTTACTGCCTTTGTTTTTTTTTTTAAGAGTTTTATGTTTTCAGGCCTTAAATTTATATTTTTAATCTATTTTGAATTTATATCTTTAATCTATTTTGAATATGGTGTAAGAAAGTGATCAGTTTCATTTTTTTTGTATGTATCTGTCCAGTTTTCCTAACACCATTTATTGAAGAGACTGTCTTTATCTCGTTGTATATATACACTTGCCTCCTTTGTCATAGATTAATTGACCATATACGCATGGTTTTATTTCTGAGCTATTATGTTCCCTTGATCTACAT